GGTGTGTTTTGAGGCGTCCCCGGGAATCGAGCATACTTTGTCTTCAATCTCCCCAACCTCGTTGCTGTTTTGAATCCGCACACAGGGGTTCGGGTGAAGCAACAACAGCAGCCACCAAGCGGGCCGAATGGGGCAGCAGAGAACCCAAAGAGTCGACGGCGAAAATGAGCGGCCCAGTTATGTGTCTCGCACCCTGTTCCCTTCCCACCGTTTTGAGCATGTTATCCGGATCCATTGCGCCACGACAAGGGACCGCGTAGATCATTCCTGATCACCGCGTCGAGGTGGGCTCGGCTGACGGTGAGATTCACCAGGATATCGTGCGGCCAAGTGTCAGATCAGCCGGATCAGAGGGGCTGCCAACCAATGCCGTCTTTGCCGGATCACGGGTGAATTCTATTTCGCCTTCGATCTAACCGTCCGTTCGTATGCTATGCGCATCGCCGCCGATGAATCCCCATAAGCAAGGTGTTCGGTACGACTTCCATTCATGGTTGCGGCGGTACCTGCCGCGGATATGCCTGCCTCGTTAGAATGACCCTCGTCAGAAGACGGAGAAGCTGATTCAGTATGGGGAACCGTACATATGTCCAGTGCCGCTGTTTCAGCCGTTCAACTTCGAGATCCACTTCTGCAAGACATTCAAGCCATTCACCAGCTAACCATCTCTGGCTCTGCAAAAGCACGACCACATCAAACAAGGCATGTGGAGCTCGCAATGTGAAGCTCATGTAACCTTTGAGCCGGACCAGTTGCGTATCAGCGGCCGCCGATACTCGATAGTGGATTCAAATTGTGGAAAAGCGATATCTTCCAGACATGACTGGATACCTGAGGCTTCTTTTTCTAGGCCCCTGTTCAAGTGACTCGGCCTGACCCACCAACGTCCGCGTCGGCCTGCCTCACTCCCCTGTCATTGCAGAAATCGTTAGCGCACCCTCCTCCGCGTGGCTGACGCTCAGCGAGTTTATTCGTGAACGTTGCGTGACAGGACGTTAGTATCGTTTGGCCGGCGCCATCACAACGCTACCGGCGATACCATGAGATCGCTGCTACTGCTACACGCTCACGGCCTTGCTCACCGTATCCGGTCTACTCCAAGTGTCAGATCTCGAGGAGTCGCATCTAGTGTTACCCCGTTTCTTCCTTATTCAAGCCAGCAATGCGACTGGGTGAGGAGTCAATACGTGACCTGCTGAGAGTCTCCCGCGGCAGCACAAGGCTTGCTTCTGAAAAGTGGTCCAACATCCGCATACGGCCTGTATCCCACCACATGATTTCCACCACTGGGAATCTTCCTCCCTTCGCAGTGCTCCAGAAGGATCACATAGTCGCGATCGGCGCCGATCTATGCTCAACATGATCCGCAATTATAGCGCCAGGGGGTACTCAAGGAGAGTTTTGTTCACACGGCGGTCGATTCACAGGTGCATAATGAACGCAGGACCAAGCTCACCAGTTTGCCGCTGTCAATGCGCTGGACTCTAGACCTGGGATTATGCTGAAGCAGTGGCCTAAGCCGTTAGTGACCGTTGATGTTGTTTTTTCCGCAACGTCTATCCGAAGGAAGCTCTCTGCGGGCCACGAATGCGCAGCCCATCGACGATGTGAAGGAGTCGAAGGATGCACCGCAAGATTAGCCCGAGGGGCCCACGACACGTCAATCACGAACCCACGATCTCCGTTTGAACTTCGGCTTCTAATGACTAGCACATGTGAGACCCGGTGCCGCGGGCAGATCCCAAGTGCTTTCCAATGATTACGGATCAGCCTGTCCGTCTGAGATCGAGTTCGTGTGTCGGCACCCGCGCATATCTCGCATTCGGAAGCCCACCCGCTACATCCCAATCTGCAAAGGTCATCACACGCAAGGGCATAACCGCGCCGGGGTTTTGGATGTCGGGCCCCGCGACAAAGACGAAAAGGTCGCGAAAGACTTCGCAGTTTGATGACCCAGTGACCCTGTTATTACTGCGAGGCACTTCAGTGTATGCAGCTGCAAAGGTATACTCCGAAGCTACTGCTGCAACTGAATATTGGGTGTGTTGCATTGCATATCGCCGAACAGCGCGCAGCAAACGACACTGCCGTGAGCAAGGGTGGGGCACAAGATCACTGTCACGGTCTGTCGGTCCTTTAACAACGTGAAACTGTCAGCAGATCCACGTTTATCGACCTGGCTGTCGGGAGCCGCACCGCCCAAGTCAAATGTGTACGTGGACATCACTCTATCTAAACCTAATCTCCATCAACTCCGGGTAAGGGCTTTTACGTGTGGTGGGCATGTAATACCGGTCGGGCTTATGCAGCCTGAGGATCATAGCATGGGTCTTTGTCCTTGCTTCCTTTGACCTACCCCATGTTGGTAAGCTCCGTGCAATCTCGATCGCTCAAGAATATGGGTTTTATTTTTCTCTGCCAGACTGCATGCATGCGATACGATGTGCTCCGCAAGCAACGCAGCATGTTACTGTGCCGTGCGTGGAAACCGTCGCAGATACATTGGTACTTCGCCGACGACGTTTACCTGCAGCCGAAGGAAGGGGGTAGTATGCGGGCCTAAATTCAACGAGATGTAACGTACATCGCAATATCTGTTTAGCTTCTTTCCTGGATCATGTCGATACCCGAACCCAGTGCGGGATCTGCCAGCCTGCGTGCTCCAAACTTGATATGCCGCAACGGAGGCAAGTATGACGACATGAACGGGCCCACAACGTCTATCACCAAGGTCCCAGATCAAGACACTCCGAAGCCCCCACTTTCCGATACGTGACCGACATCATACTGGAACAACAACTTGGTCGGAACAAGAGGAAGGGGTCTTGGTTACTGTACCAGAAATGCAAGGCAAGCAATATACCTGCCACTGCAATCCTTCTACGTCATTCGTGGGAAAACCAGACCCTGGTAGAAGTAAGAGCACGCACGCATAACTCATTGCACTCCCGCACACATCCTGCAGCCCAGCCAGCCACCCCAGCTTACACGAGCTCGGAGCCGCCGCAATCCCATCCCTCCCTTCCCTTCCCCCATCACATCACGCACCCTCGCTCTATACCAGGGTAATCTTATCATCTGCATCTCTTACCTCGTATATCCCACCAATTCGCCAAAAGGCTTGGGTTATAATGGCAGGCCCCCAGTCTACTAACTACTAACTTGGTTCCGGCAGCGGTTCTTCTTTTCTCTCCGCATATGCGCCGTTGATCCGCCCCTTCTGCACTGCTGCTCTCTCCACGCTCGGATGACGTGTGCCATTCTGTGCACCAAGCTCTACAGTACAGTGACGCCGGATGGAAGGGTCTCCGTGGAATAATGCCGCGCCTTATATGTACGCTGTACATTCGCTTCACCTCAATCTTTTCGTCTGTCTGGCGAATCGCTTAAGTGTACACCGTACCATATACTCATCTCGCTCAGTCGCTCACGCGCGCCTTTATGCACACGCGAATGCAAGCTTGCCATACACTAAAGCCGCAAGCGAGGACTGCCTTCTCTATCTAGTCTGCTCGCTATTCGTCTCCGCATCGTCGATTTTCCGTGCGTTCATTTCTGCCACCGGCCAATGAGTCTTGCTGCATTTTGTTAGTGAAAGCGACGGTGTGTTGTCGGTATGGGTTGTCAGGGGTAAGCGAAGGATTCTTGACAGTCGCAAGATGATGCGATGCGGGCTTAGCGCGGATCTATGATCTGAGCTGATCGCGTGGGTACAAAGATGGGGCTGGCGTTTGCAGAGGGTTGGTCGTGATGGAGGGTGGTGACGTGGTTGTGACGGCTGGGAAGGCAGTGTGTGGCTCGGATGAAGGACTGGTGTATGGCTGTGTCGATGCCAGTGCGGTGTATTGTGCCGTATACGGATGGCGAATTGGACTGTATGCGGTGTTGCTTACAGGAAATACTCCGCAGTCGATACGCCAATGTGAAGTGGCCTAGGTCAAGAACACAGCCCATCGTATGTCTCTCGATACATTCTGCTAAGAGTGCATTTTTGGGCACCTCCAAGGAGACTAAGCAGAGCTCGATAGTACAACCTCTACCTTGATCATAAAACGACCATTAAATCAAGGAATGCCATTTCAGATGACGAAGCATGATATTCGCATCCCTCGCGGTACCAAATGAAGCCACCAAGACAGCGCTATCGCCACAATCTGTCGAGCTTCCCAGTTTCATGGATACATTACTACATTCATACCCAACTTTCTCTGGCCACCTACGATTGCACACGACATTTCCAACAACGTCACCTGTGCTATGTACGCCATGTCAGCAAGTGATAGCTTGTGAGTGTATGATTTGGTACGTTATGTGCGTGCTGGCATCTTACACCCCAAATTGAGACGCCTCGACTAGCGATATCCATAACGTGGGATGAGAACGGCAATCATGGGCACACCAACGACAGCGGAAGAGGTAAGATAATCACGTCTTCGCTGTTACTCAACGCAGCTTTTGGGTTCATACTCTTCGCAGAGAGTAGAGTCCATGGCTAAGCAGGGGACAGATAATAGAGCGAATGACCCATTTGACATGCTGTGCCTAGCGGGAATGGCGCTGGTAGGGTCTATCACTGTAACGGGGTAGTACATTACTGAGATAGATACATGGAAAAAAATAAGACCCGTAGGCTTTTTTCGGTACCTGGCTGTTTGCAGACAATTGATGGATATGCATAGTAACGTATCGAGACACTACAACTCGACCACTCCAAATACGAAGAAGTAGCACGCTCGTCCAGCAAAGAAATTTAAAGATGTCAATGTCAACCCCCAATTATATGCGTACCTAGTACTGGCGAGCCGTCTCGCTGGGATCAAAAGAGAAGGCAGGTGTGGAGTGCACGTCATCATGCACATATGTGGAGACTGACCACAGAAGTACAACGATATGCATTGACTGGAAGCCAATGTGCGAACCTTGATCAAGGTTATTACAACCGCTCATACCCGCCTGCTGTGCGTAGCCACCTTACGTGAAGGAGTGTTTGCATCATCAGACTACTCTCCACGACCCCAAATGTCCATATACGGGAACCACTCAAAACCTGGTAATTTACCCGCGAAATCAATACCAAACTGTTGTTCACCATCGAAGACCCGTGTATAGGACTCAAGCATCTCCACGTACGCCTTTGTTTCCGCGTTGATGTGACGCACCGGGCCATAATGACGAAGATCGTACCTGGCCACATCCACGTCGCCAAATTCTTTGTCCTTACGGTCGTTGTTCAGGAATAGGGCAGCAGGGCCTTTGCCATCCGGTAGCTCGGTCGCAAGATCGGCTATGAGTTGTTTGACTGGAACTGAAGGCCAGCTCGAAAACACAAGGGAGCCTTCGTTGATGGCCAGGAAGCCTTGAGGATCGCTCACTACCTCAATCGGTTTTGGTAGCGAATGGAGCGTTATGCGGTCGAGGGAGGTGTAAGCAGGGTCTTGCGCAACAATTTTGATGGGCTTTTCGAGCGGTATGCCTTCTGCTTCATATAAATGGTCGAGATCGTAAGCGATATAAGAAGCAATCATATGCTGCACTAACGAGCGAGCTTGCGCAATATCTGGAGCATCCAGAGTCCCCAGACCTATACAGACGATGTTGGAGATTCGGGCCGTGTGTACGAGCTTTCGAAGGCTACGGTGCAAGATCTCGGGCACGCCGCTGGAGCGCCAGTACCACTCGTACATGCCCAATACGAACGCTCGGGGAAGATTGCTGTAGAGATAATGACTTTCTGGTAAAGGGTCACCAGCTTTCAGATGCCTAGTGTCGACGTGATCGGGGCGTACTTCTTGACGTTCTCCAGACCCTAGAAAGAGTGGGAGCGCAGGGCGGACGTCATCAGCTTGGAAGATTTCGGCGAGTTCATGGATCCCGGAGTAGAATAAGACAGGAGCTTCACTGTCGGCGTGTTAGCGCTAGAATGAGTGTTTTCTTGCATGATCATAAGTAGAACATACTCGAGAGAAGAAAGATTTTCTCCTGGGAAGAAGAAAGGCTTGCCATAGCAATCCAACAGTGTAAAGTCCTGACCGCGGCGAGCTCGAATCAGTTGATCTGCGGCGTTGCGAAGCATGAAACGACTGTAGATCGGGCGGTCTCTAAGGGAATCTCTGAAGGCTTTGATGTCTAGAACTGTATGGGAACCGTTTGTGGATCCAATTCCGATTTCCTCAAGCACATCGGCGAGACGGTCGTGAGCTTGGAGTGGAGGTGTTTTGTCGGTTGAACACTGGAACTCCTGCCAGGCCATGGGGTACATACCCGCCCACATCGTAGCTGCTGGCATGGCTGAGAGGTTTGTCCCAACGGACGCAGGGCACACGCCCCATGTGTTCTCCATTGCTATTAATTATCGTAGTAATAGAGAATTCGTGATCGAATAAGACGTCGAGAACGATCAGAGTGGGTAGTTGGAAACCGTAACGGGCGATCTGCTGACAATAGTGGAAGTGTGGGACGATGTTGACAATGTGTTGATGGGGATGCAGAGTGTAAGAGCCAGCTGGGGATGGAAGTAAACATGACCCAAGCTGGTGAGCAGATGCCTCATGCACATATGCCACTGCCGCTGACGGTGACGTGAGGGAAGAACAGACCTGGATCCATGGGCTGGGCAAGAGCATACCGCAGCGCAGTCGGTAAGCCCGCCGTTCTGCCACTCCTGCGATTGTGAGTGCCGATAGTGATAGCGTTGCTCTAAATGACACATCCAGTAGCCCTGTACCTGTCACAACTGATGATAGGTTGACACGGGATCCCTGAGATTCATTAAAGCCGCCTCGACTCATGATGGAAAGGCCCCAGCCACCGAAGCGCATGCGGTGAATGTTGCAAAGGCCACCGGAACTGCTTTGGTAGCCATCGGGAGTGTCTTTCGGGTACCTTCCGATCCTTGAACGTATCATTCATCAGAGGTGTGGCTTCCGCGCAGCCGATCGCGATGCCGTATGTAACCTCCCACATCGAGTAGAAGCTGCGAATGAGATGAGGACATCTTCCGCGAAGACAATGAGCGAGCGCAACGCGTAAGACACGCGCATGCATCAATGCGAGTCTTCTGTGGACCGTCGCGAGGCGTGACTCCTAGAGTGAGGCTCATCGTAGCCGGCCTGGGCAAGCTCCTCGATCTTGAGCGAAAGCGCGTTAAGGTAAGTTGGGAGGTGCAACCACTCTTGAGGTGGCTGCTGTGTTGCAGAGTAGGCGCGCAGGGACGATGGCGCGATCGCGCGGAAGTGGGCCACTAGCGTCCTTTCCTGTCGCGTTGTCCACACGTGACGCGTCTTTTACCCTCCACCTGGGCAGCACCTCATACCAGGGAAAAACTGAACAGGTGCGCCGGTCTCCATTACGACAAAGACACGAGTTTTACCAGATGTTGGGGCAATATTATCTTGTTAGCTTTTCTTTCTAGATTCACTTCGTGGAGGTGGCTGTCCAGTTCTTCCCTCGGATGGGTGCCAGGGCACTTTCGGGTCTGCATTGTCATATGGTCGCAAACCTCATCCAGGCACTCGCTCACTGTCGAAGTGATTGAATAGACTACTCCAGACACATACTACCTGTTAGTATTTGTGCAATCGGTTGTAGCTTGGACGGTCTCGATTTTCACCTCGGCTTGGGCGTGTGTCGCCACCCGTGTGGCGCCTAGTATCAACGAAGAAGAGGATGCGCCTTTGACTTTTACTAGACTCTTGGCTTGGTTTGGTCGGGTTATGAAATTTGTACCTTGGTCTGCGAGATGATTGTGATAGCTTTGAGGCGGTTCGCTGGAGTGCTGTTGGATGCTTCACCGCAGTACCGTGGTCGTTGTATCAAACTCGTAACGCGCCCGCTATAACATGAAATACATGATCTGAGCATTCAGCACTCCCAAGGAACATTGTATAAGCCTTTTCCCTTCTTTGAAGCATGGAAGCATCGTATACTCCAAGCGCAGACCTCAATATACGTAGTCACGAAGTGGCCCTTGGATACTTGTGATTTACCGATACTTAATTGCTTTATATGTGATGCATCATTCCTGATAATTTTCTAGACCCCAAAGCAATATGTTGTAACAACAAATGTCAATGTCGTGCTTCCTCTGGCCGTTGCGGATGCTACGAGCGGAATCTATGTCCTCTGATATGCAACCACGGTGTACCCCAATATGGCCTTAACAAGGTATCCAATGCGTAAATGACAGTAGCTGGGGCAGCATCGCCATCTGCAGTGAGAAAAAGCAGAACCTTTGAAGTAGACTAGTACTCTGGCCATATTCTGTCCTAGCACGTCTAAATCGTTGTGATGTTTGGAGTGCAAGACACCTATGGACTGGCACATAAGCTGCGACATTCGCCTGCCGCATATGTATGTTCAGCTGACCACATATGAATTTATTCCAGCTCACAGCCATGTGCAGCGCTGAGCCTCTGCTTACCAACACGCGGTCTTTGATGTCGAGATAGCATATACAATGCCTCGTTTCGTGGATAGGGTCTTGTGTACCTGCGGCAGTTATCGTTGCTAGCATCGGCTACAGGTACTTTGTTAGTAAGTCGCTCAATCCTTTTGTTGAGACTTTCGCGCGCTAACGCCGTTAGTGTTTGCGTGCCTTACGCTGTTCCGGCAGTAGTTCTGCATACATTGTTCTGGGGTATTCAAAGACGAGATTGTGGTACAAGTAACGGATGCGACGAGGAGCGAGCAGCCTGGAAGTACGGACACGCATATGATGCTCGGGCGTCAGGGTCCAGTTGTAACTGGGCGAGACGCGTGCGATACTGGAATCCAGGTTTCGAAGCATCTCGGCCTTTTGAGTTTGTCGCATCAGAGTCGCGTCGACAAGTTTCCTTTGCCATGTTTCAGCGTGAGCCAATTAGGCATGTGCTCTGGTAAGCAGAGATACGGTGTGGGCGCAGGAAGGTATATCCGGCGAACATCAGGAATGCAGGGAGCCGAAGGGGACTAGGGCGGGCGAAAACCATGCAGACCCGTGGGTGGAATAATCAGAATCTGAACAATTTTAGTGCAGCCAGCGCGCGTATATACAAGCCGCCCCTCCACGCTCCCTTCCGTCTATCTGCCCTCGCTTTTTCAGTTTTCCTGTATTGTATAGACTCTCCACTCTTCCGTTGGGGCGTCTCTACATCCACGCTTGATACCCGGGGTTTTCACCCTCTCGCGCTGTTGGGCACCGCTTACGCTTCAGCCGCCGCGAATAATTCCAGACCGTATCGATAAGCCCCTCCACCAAAAAGAAATCGCTCGTCGCAGATTCACAGCGCAGCACCACTCACCCCTACCGGCTTCTTTCGCAGATGCCGCACTCTGAGTCGCCGCCTATGGCTCCAGCTATTGTCGTCGACAAGGCCAGCGCAGCCCCTGCGCCTTCGCAAGAGGATGTCAACGCCTTCATCAGCAGCATCGTCACCGCAAAGACGTCGCACGCCTCGGTCGACGCCGCCTACGCCCTCACGACCCTCCTCCAGAACTCAGTAGGCTTCCGCGGCCTCACTGGCTATGGCATACTCGAGGAGATCAAGAAATCGGCGGCCAACAAGAAGGATGCCGTGCGGAGAGAGGGCGCCATGAACGCCCTCGGTGCCTTCTTCGAGCGCCTCCCGCGCACACAACGCCTGACAGAGGCCATCTTCCTCGTCCAGAACGAAGGGCTGGTACCCATGGTCCTTGACCTGCTGGCAGACAAGACTGGCTCCGTCAAGGAGTCGGCCAAGTACGCTCTCGACTCGCTGTTCGAGAATCTCAGCGCTGAGGCCAAGGTCTTCGGCCTCTTGCCTGTGCTGACCAAGTACCTGGGCAAGAAGTCCGGAAAGTGGCAGGGTGCTGCTTTCGCCTACGAACTCATCGGCCGCATGGCCGACAAGGCCAAGATGGGCATGGAGAGCCTCGAGGTCGAGAAGGAGAAGGATGTTCTCCGCGAGTCTATGGGCAAGAAGCTCGAGGGTCTCATCCCTATCGTCGAGGCCGGCATGCACGATCTCAAGATTGAAGTAAGGTCCCTCATCCGCTATTCTACAGCCACCGTACTAACCACGAGCAGGTCGCAAAGCAGTCTGTCAAGACGATGAACAGCCTCACTACCCTCCTCCAGAACGACGATATCGCGCCCCGGATACCCCTCCTCGTCAAGGCCATCGAAGACCCCTCCACAACAAGTCTGCAGAAGGCCATCCACGCTCTCTCCCAGACCACCTTCGTCGCTATTGTCACATCACCCGTCCTTGCTATGGTCACACCTCTGCTCGAGCGCTCTCTGAACATGCCTTCCACATCTCAGGAGGTCACCCGCCAGACTGTCGTCGTAGTCGAGAACTTGACCAAGCTCGTTCACGACCCTATCGAGGCCCGCGCCTTTTTGCCCAAGCTTCGCCCAGGTGTGCAGTCTGTCAAGGACCGCGCTTCCCTGCCTGAAGTCCGCGAGATCGGCCAGCGCGCGCTGGACGTTATCGAGAAGGCCATGGCCGACCCAGACCACAACATCGACAGCGGCGCCATCGCGAGGACACAACCATCAGATGTTCAGAAGGTCATCGAGAAGCAGATCACCGCTTCTGCCAACCTCCTTGACTTCCCCGGAGACGCGGAGGTCTTGGCTATCACCAAGAGGTACATCTCCGAGATGATTGCTGAGGTTGTTGATCAGCGCGAGCTTCAGCGCCTGCCAAAGCTCGTTGGCCCTTACCTGGAGCCTTTGCTCAACGCTGGAGACGCCGATAAGGTCGCAGAGGCCGTGCACCAGTTCTACGTGGACGAGGACCACCGCAAGTTCGGTCAGCCTGTCAAGGAGGATGACGGAGAGACGGAGATTGTCAACGCTGTCTTCTCCCTAGGATACGGTGGTATGTTGCTCCTCTCACACACCAACCTTCGCCTGCTCAAGGGCCACCGCTACGGTCTTTGCGGTCGCAACGGTGCTGGAAAGTCAACCCTCATGCGCAGTATCGCGAGCGGCAAGCTGGAAGGTTTCCCTTCTCAAGACGAAGTCAAGACTTGCTTCGTCGAGCACAACCAAGGAGAAGACGCTGATCTCTCTATTCTTGAGTACATCGTCCGCGACCCGCGCTTCGCGGACGAGAGCCGAGAGCGTATCTCCGAGGTTCTCGAAGAGGTCGGCTTCACCGCTGGCCCCGAAGGCAGGCAGTCCGCCAAGGTCGGCTCTCTGTCCGGAGGATGGAAGATGAAGCTCGCTTTGGCCCGTGCTATGCTTATGCGCGCCGACGTGCTCCTCCTTGACGAGCCCACTAACCATCTGGATGTTGCCAATGTCGCTTGGCTCGGAAAGTACCTCAAGTCCCACACTGAGATCACTAGCTTGATCGTTTCTCACGACTCTGGTTTCCTCGACGAAGTCTGCACCGACATTTACCACTACGAGCAAAAGAAGCTGGTCTGCTACAAGGGCAACCTGGCTGATTTCGTTCGACAGAAGCCGGAAGCGAAGAGCTACTACACGCTCTCGGATACTCAGGTCAAATTCAAGTTCCCTCCTCCTGGTATCCTCACTGGTGTCAAGTCGAACACTCGCTCCATTCTGCGCATGACAAACTGCTCCTACACCTACCCTGGCGCTTCCAAGCCATCGCTCACCGATGCTTCTTGCAACTTGTCACTGTCATCCCGAGTCGCCATTATCGGTGCCAACGGTGCTGGTAAATCTACGCTCATCAAGATGCTTACTGGCGAGACCGTCCCTCAAGAAGGTACCGTCGAGAAGCACCCCAACTTGCGTATCGGTTACATCAAGCAGCACGCTCTTGAGCACGTCGAGATGCACATGGAGAAGACTCCCAACCAGTATCTCCAATGGCGTTACGCCAACGGTGACGATCGTGAGGTGCTCATGAAGCAGACACGTGTGCTCAGCGAGGAAGACAAAAAGCAGATGGAAACTCCCATCGATCTAGGCGACGGCTCAGGCCCCCGTAGGATCGAGGCACTCATTGGTCGTGCGAAGTACAAGAAGACCTTCCAGTACGAGGTCAAGTGGTTGCACATGCTGCCCAAATACAACACCCAGATCTCGCGTGAGACGCTTCTCGAGAAGGGCTTCTCCAAGCTTGTCCAGGAGTTCGACGATCACGAGTCGTCGCGTGAGGGTCTCGGTTACCGTGTCTTGGAGCCCAAGGTCATCTCCAAGCATTTCGAGGATCTCGGTATGGATCCTGAGATTGCGAACCACAACGAGATCTCTGGCCTTTCCGGAGGACAGAAGGTCAAGGTCGTGCTTGCCGGTGCCATGTGGAACAACCCCCATCTTCTCGTCTTGGACGAACCCACCAACTTCTTGGACCGCGACTCTCTCGGTGGTCTCGCTGTTGCTATCCGCGACTACAAGGGTGGTGTGATCATGATCTCGCATAACGAAGAATTCGTCGGTGCTCTCTGCCCCGAGCAGTGGCACGTCGCCGACGGTCGCGTCACACACAAGGGCCACCTTGCCGTCAACATGGACCGTTTCGAGGACTCGCGCCCTGGATCCAGCAATGTTAGCAGCAATGTGAGCTCCGCTGCGCCGTCCACCACCGGTACTCCCGTCATGAGTGACGCCGAGGGCAACAAGGACGATATGAAGTTCAGGTCGAGGAAGAAGAAGAAGATGACCAAGAAGGAGCTCAAGGACCGTGAGGTCAGGCGTAGATTGAGGTACATTGACTGGTTGAACAGCCCCAAGGTATGTTTTTTCCCATTCCACCCACATCGATGCAGATTACTAACAATTTCACTAGGGTACTCCTCAGCCACCCAACACTGATGACGAGGCCGAGTAAATGTTGTTGCAACTGTTTCGGATTATGATCGCATTATGATATCTTAGACTATGCAGATTTGCATTGCTCGGCGTTTAATAGAGGCCTGGATGATTGACTGCATTTGCGTCACCGATAGATTTTGAACGTCTAGCTGCATCCTTATGATGAATCAAAAGCATTTCCTTTTCTTCAAGCTACAGTATTTTTCCTGATTTGCGTGAGTCTTGCTACTCTATATGAGCTGCCTTTGCCTATTTTGACATGTGAGCACCAACGCTACCCGGTAGGGTCCAGCAATGTGAGAAGGTACCTAGAGTTGATACATCATACTGCCGTAGTAATTTAGTTACTCGATGGATAAGTGATGCGATCTTAATTGTGCTTCTGCGTTCAATGGTGTAGACGTATACTGCAGAGCTGCTTGGGATGTCGTCGCGTGCATTGTCTTTGCTGTTTAGAATACCCAATGCTTCAACTCCTACATACCGACCGGTCATGTTTTCATTTAGCTTCTTCACTCATTCATCAGTGTGGTGGTTCGATCGGTGGGTGCAGAGCACAGATTGCGTGCACTTCGCTCCTTCCTCCTTCACTATCTCACCAATCTCACCAGTCCACTGCCCCACCTGGGCACCCAACGAACACTCGCGCTCCGCAAGTCGGACCCTGAAAAGCCCAAGGTGAGTATCGCCTCTCAACAGCTTTTGCCTAGCAGGATAGCAAACGCCTGCAGCTGCTCTCTCGCCTCACTGCGTTGATATAAGCCCGCGTTTCTCTTCCTCTTTCCATCACCTTCCCGCACCACCCTTCTCCACTATCAACCCCTCCACACTCTCTATATCACACCCAACCACGACGACAGTACCTGCAAGTACGCTTCCATGAAGCTCATCACTGTCGCCCTCGCTGGGCTGGTGGCGCTCGTCGCTGCCTCGCCGGTCGAGACTACCGCCGCTGCTGTGGCTTCCAAGTATGAGAACGATGATGTTCACACGTAAGTCGCCTCGCCTTTCGCTGATATTCTTAGAGGGTAGTATACTGACTGTCAACAGATACAAGTGCGACAGCGACAAATATGTCCTCTCTTGCCTCCGCTCGGGCACCTGCTCTTTCGTCGAGACGTGCTCCTTCGCGTGCGCCGACAACAGCAAAGGTGCTTGGTGCACCGGTGCATCCGAGAAGCGTGACGTCGATTTCGATGTTCATATCGAGGACAAGAAGACCTACGAGTGCGCCAAGGATCGCACCGGTGTCTTGGTCTGTCAGTATGGCTTCTGCCAAACTGACCACTACTGTAAGAAGGGCTGGAAGTGTCGCGACAACTGCAACTGCTGCAAGAAGCCCAGCATGTTCGACCGAGACGTCGACGACGCCGAGATCGCTGAGGCATCTCCACGGTCCAAGGACCCATCTGTCTCTTCCCATGTAAGCAATCTCCTGTGTTCTCATTGAGCTTGAAGAGATCTGTACTCCAGACTCGGAATCGCTCGCATCTCACCTCCGATGGCTACGATTTGTGTCGCAGATCTTTCCAGGTCGAAGTATACATCGTCTTAGCAAGTGTGTACTTGTTAAGATTTAGTTGCATGCATACTGCAAACTGCGACATGAGTTCTTTCCACTCCTGACCACTACATCCTTCTCCCGCAATAGCACATTGCTAACAAAAGTTTTCAGGCCCCCACCGTCGTCGAGTCGGACACTTTGGCAAAGCGTGATCCTCCCTGTGCGCCTGGAACCTATACCTGCCTGGACTCCGCCACAACTGGTGCCTGGATCATGACCTGCGACTACAAGGGTGCGTGGCAGTACTCGTCGAACTGCGGTACTCTGAAGTGCCTCGAGCGATCCGATGGAGCCGCCCATTGCTGGAACCCGGGACCGGAGTGGAACACGGATCTGGCAGCCGCCAAGCGTGAGGCTCCTTGCATGTCTGGGACCTATTCCTGCGACAACGACGAATCAACGGATGACGCCTGGATCATGACCTGCGACTACCGGGGCAAGTGGGTGCAATCTGCCAACTGTGGAGATTTGAAGTGCCTCGCGCTATCCAATGGTGCCGCGCATTGCTGGAACCCAGGACCGGAGTGGAATACGGCAATTGCAGCTCGTGATGAACCATCGGAAGTTCCATCGGATGTCGCTCCATCTCAGTCCTGTGAGCCTGGAACATTTGGTTGCACCTTCAACTCTGGCACAGGAACGAGCTGGGTAATCACTTGTTCTCCGTCTGGAATCTGGTAAGTTCCGGATCTACGAAGTCTATTTGAGGCATATACTGACTTAGTACCTCTACCTCTGCAGGCTGTGGTCATCCGACTGTGGTCAGGGACAGACCTGTGATCTAGCAGCTGACAGGAAATCTGCCCACTGCAGGCAGAATGCGAAGCCTACCATTGGAGCCCGCGACGAGCTTCTCCAAGTCCCATCAGAGCTGGCTCCATCTATGTCTTGCTCACCTGGAGCGTTCAACTGCGCCTATAGGAACGCGACTCAGACGGAATGGACTGTCACTTGCGAGCAGTCTGGATCCTACTGGCAGTGGTCTGCCGACTGCGGTAAGGATTGGAAGTGCGTTTCGGACGGTCGTGTTGCACACTGCGTCCCAAAACAAGCTTTATTCGAAGCTTGGGAAGCTTGGGAGGTCACCCAGACCTCCACATCGACTCTCGAGGTTGAGGCTTCAGCAAAGGCTTGAGCGGAGTCTGAGATAACAGAGTAGAAGGATGTGAGAATGAGAGCGATGGGTGCGCGCGGCCTTACGGATACGCCTGGTGGGTACGCCGACTCCTCCAAAAGCATGCAAGGCGCAGATGGCAGTCGCTAGTAGGGCTCTAACCACTCTTCATGACGTCGTTTCTGAAAATAACAATGAAAGAGACACTTCCAATGCCTTGTTCCTTCTCTTGTGTTGCATGGGATATCTGAACAAGCGGTGACTGATCTTTTCGAGACCCGGTGGACGAATAGTTGAGGATGATGTCGTGAGGCAGAAGGATGCGATCGATCGAATGCGACGTCGCTAATGGTTGGTGGCGCTAAGGATCTTATGCCGCGGATCTGAAGCTTAGCAGCTGCACAATAACGGTTTGGCTGCAAGCTGCATGGTGCGCTACATGTTTTTGTGGAATCTACAGGAAAGGCACGCGAAGACGCGTCTATCAAGTCTAATCAAGAAATGAAGATTAAGAGCAAAGAGCCGACAGGAGCCCGTCGCGAGCAAAAGACCCCTTGGAAAACTGGCGGGGCTCACCCAGCACCTAGTCTCAGATCGACATCGCGTCCCTGCATACACTCGTCATACGTTAAAAAACAACCCTCTTCCAGCTGACCAAGAAACATGCACAGTAGCGCCAAACGTCGACCGCGAATTGTGGCTTGTAGGATATTGAAGATCTAGACTTTCCTTCCCTCCTCAGCTTCTTCTTCCTGCTGTGCACCTTCTACGAGTCTTTACTTTCGCAGATTGACCTTCCGCGGAGCTTCGTCTTCGTATCCAGGCAACAGCCACGATGTCGTTCATTGTCGAACATGCGAAACAGGCCGTCACCGACAAACAAACCAATGTCGTCATTTTCTCGGCCACGGCCATTGCCCTCTACGGGTATGACCAGGGAATGATGTCCCTCATCAACACGAATTATGACTACCTATCCACCATGGGCCTCGAGGAGGAGTCACCAGTCGTTGGTGTGATCGTAGCGGTTTACTACCTCGGCTGCGCTGTCGGCGCTGTGCTCTTCTCCATGCTCGCTGATAAGTTGGGAAGGAAGAAGAGCATCTTTGCCAGTCTGGCAACAGCTAGTTTGGGAAATCTGATCATGTTCGTGGCTGGAATGGGCATGTTGGGAAAGAGCACGGAGATCGCATTGGGCGTTATGCTTGCTGGACGCGTAGTCATGGGACTGGGTGTTGGAGGAATCGACGCAGTCATTCCTACCTACTCTTCCGAGTTGAGCGCCGACGACTCTCGTGGCAAAGCGCTGGCCCAGGAATTCCAGTCCAACATCTTCGGTCTCGTAATGGCATTTGGTATCAATTTGCTCGTCACCATCCTCCTTGGCAAGCAAAATCAGTGGGCGTGGCGCGTCCCCATCATCGTCATGCAGGTTTACCCCGTTTTGCTGATGGCGTTTGTTGAACGCCTTCCGGAATCACCGCGTTGGTTCATCTTCCATGACCGCCAGGAGGATGCGAAGAAGGCATTAGACGACATCTATGGAGATGAGGGCAAGGAGAAGCTTGATGAGCTACTCGAACAGCACGAGAAGGAGAAGGATATCAAGGTTGGGTACATGGATATGCTCACCCCCGGCCACGAGCAGTTCCATCCCACTATGGTCACAGTAATGTGCCAGGTCAACCAGGCGCTCACGGGTTACGGTGCAGTCAGTGTGTACGGGCCGCAGATCTTTGAGGTAAGTTGTGTCCATGATCAGAGTGGTGTGGTTTTGACTCAATACTGACATGTGAAAACAGCTCCTAGGCTTCTCAGTCCGCAACTCTGAATACCTCACCCTTGGCAACTACGTGTCCTACTTCTTTCTCATGACGCTCGCTTGGCTCTTGATCGATGCTATGGGCCGACGCAAGATCATGATCCACAGTTCTGTCATCCTCGCCACCTCGTTCGCACTTCTTGGTGTCTTCGGTGGCTTAGCAGCAAACTCTGAGCCTATGAACATTCCCATTATCGTCCCCGGAATTATTGGAACCGTTATCTTGTTCGTGGCCACCGGCGCCTTCGGAATCGGTTGGCTATCAACCGTGTGGTTGTTCCCCACTGAGGTCTTCCCGACCACCGCTCGCGCTCAAGGCACCGCTATTTCCGTCATCATCTGGGGCCTTGCCAACTTCGCCATTACCTTCCTCACACCTGTCCTGTTCAACAACCTCGACTACTGGATTTTCGTCGTCTTCGCTGCAACCAATGCTTTCGCTGGGCTGTGGACGTACTTCTACCTCCCAGAAACTGGTGGCAGGACTTTCGATGAGAACATGGACTTCTTCAAAGAGGCGGGCGAGCAGGGAACATGGAGGGTTGGTAAAGTCGGCAAGGGCGAGTGGAAGAAGATGTACTACCCTGATGCTGAAGGAGGAGATGCCGTCGAGGCGGAACGCGTACCGCTGTTGCAGAGGGTGGAAGACCAGGTTCCTAGCGTGGAACAGTCTAGAGAGCCCAGCCAGCAACGGGAACAATAGAGAAAGGAAGCCCAGCCTTCTATGACGCGGAGGTTTCGAGGAACCCTTGTGGCATAGTAAAAGCGGCGCAAAAGGTAAGGCATGCTAGTCAACTCTACTCAGGGCTGCGCTGACGTCATCATCTACAGTTATCGTATCAATTAGCATCAGAATGAACATACAATTTTCCTCCAACAAAGCTTTCGGGCGCATCAAGATGTTGATCTACATGGAGTTTCCGGGTGATGCTCGACGTTCTGCCCCACAAACTAATATACACGATATAGCCAACCCGGTTGCGGAGAATACCCGGCATCTACGTGATCCAAGTACCGACCACGAGCCACGACTATTAGATTGAAAGCGATCAAATCCCCCGGATACTATCGTCATGGCTCTGCATGCAATCTGTTTTCCGCGAGGCCAAGCGATCTTTACACATCCTGTTCATAAGTCTTGCAGCGTGCGCATTATGCGTGCGACATTTTGTTGCCCTCTTCATCGACAGCAAGATGCGCTCACTAACGTATGCAGTTGCGCTCTGCGTTTCTCTAGCTAGTACTGTAACGTTTGCGACGGCGCAAAGAACAGGCTCACCGTCCGACTCGCCCCAAGACTCGGACATCTACCAGTCCTCCTATCTCGGCGGCGATCACAACATCGATCCCTCAGACCTCCCAAATTTTGCACAGCTCTGGAACGCAACCTTCAACCCGGACGAGAAAGTAAATTGCCATCACTGCACCTCACCTCTTCACCACCATTAACATCACCACAGCACTGGGCGCGCCCCCTCGTCCACACTCTATCCTCCACCGGCCGCCAAATCGTCTTCACCGCGTCCACCGAGAATCACATCAGAACCTTCGATGCAGAGACCGGCCAGCTACTGAACGAACGTCAAGTCGCTCCACCATGGCCAATGGATCAAGCCTACTGCACGACGCACGTCAGCAAAACACTAGGCATAATGGGCACGCCCGTCATCTACCGCGAAGACGGCAACGAAATCGCATTCTTCTATGTCAAGAGCTACATCGAGGACTACAGACAACCAGGTGGCGCCTACCCGCCTCTGAATTCCGTTTACTATCTCTACGGCGTATACCTAGACACGTTGCAAGATCTCTACAAATACCCCATGATCATCGATGGCCAGCCCTCCGATAACGATATTCGCAAGACGTTTCTGGGCGGTCTGGTCTTGCAGCGGCCTGCGCTGCTGTTGCTGGGCGACGTGCTGTATGCGGGGCTCGGCGGGCTGTGCGACGCTTTTAACTACACCGGAAGCGTTGTCGCTGTTAATCTCGCGACGCAGAATATGTATACTTGGACTACGCAGGCAGGAAACGCGAGTCTGTACAATGACGACTGGACGGCGTGGCATGGGGGTGGCGCGGGTGGGATCTGGCAGGCTGGCGCTGGTCTCTCGTCGGATGGCAAAGATGTGTTCTTCACTATTGATAATGGCGGGGGGTCGACGGCTACAACGCTTGATGTTACACCAAGGAAGGGCCACGAGTCTTTGGGTGTTCTTTCGGAAACGGTGGCGCGTATTACTCTTGATGAGGCGGGTGGTGCTGGGATTCAACTTGTTGATTTCTTCCGCCCGTCGGACTGGCAAACAGATTCTGGACAGGATATTGGAAGTGGGGGGTTTGCTGTCCTCGATAGCAATGTTTTCAAGACTAAGGGTGGAAAGCGGATCGGTATAGCGACTTCTACGAACCCGAAGATGTACGTGACGGAAGTTGACAGCTTGGGTGGGTATCTGCAAGGTACAAGCGGTACGGATGGAATCCTGCAGACCATTCCTTTAGAAGGCGAGGTCTTTGGTGCTATTGGATCTTATCCGCTAGAAGGCGGTTATGTCTACGTCAACCCTGGCAACACCGCTCTATCCGCGTACGCATTTACTCCGGACGCATCGTCCTCGCTCTTCAGCTTCGCTGGCAAGTCCTCCGAAACGAACGGACATTGGGGTGGTGCTGGTCTCCCAACAGTTACCAGCAACGAAGGCCAGCCTGGCACAGGTATTGTGTGGGCCACGGATGTGCAGGCTGGACTGAGAGCGTTTAAGGCGGTGCCGGTTAATGGGACGTTGGTTGAGCTGCCGCTACCGAACGTGGAGGGTGCGGTGAAGTTTGGACGACCTGTGTTTGGCGATGGGAAGGTGTTTGTGATTGATGGTCAGGGACGTTTGATCGCGTTGGGGAAGAAGGCGTAGACGTAAACGTAGACGTAGGCTTAGACGTAGGCTTAGGCGTAGATGCAGTAGTAGTGGTAACAGTAGATGGGGTGAAAGAGAAAGGAAGAGGAGCTGGCTGCATCCACAAAGGTAGCGTGTCCATCTTCGAAGCACCTTAACATGTCCTTCTGGTGTACGCAAATGCTCCGTCACCTCAAATCCAGAACTCTTGTACCGTCTCTAAAATTGCTGCCTTGGCTCTTCTTTAGGGCTTACTCGGTGATCTCGGACATGTCCACGGGTCTCTCGGCGTTAACAGCGCCATCCCG